TTGTTCTGCTAATTAAGGTGTATTATTTTGAAACCCGCATCGTTTTTGCTGTGATAGGTTTTTTTTTTTTATATTACATTTTTGAGAGGCAGGTAATGCTTCAAAGGGCCCGTCTAACACCTGATTGATAAATAAGAGATTAGCTTGCTGTGATTTTTTGCTATATAAGAAAACGCTGCTTGCTGTTGAAGGGAAGACTTGCTCCGTTAATCCACAGGTAGAAATTTTGCTGTAAGATTCCGAAAAAATAACTTTTCCTCTTTCTTATATAAAGAAAAATTCACTGCAAGTCTGATAGTGGAAGAGCAAAAGGATAATGATTCAGGGCCAAATTACAAGGGTAATTGGTCCAACCTGTGCCCTCCTGAAGAGGAACTCCAGGGCTTCAAAGAGCCTGTCGATTCTGCTAGCTTTGCCTCCTTTAGGACCTGATCCAAAGCTCGCTGAAGTCAAGGGAAAGAGTCACATTGACTTTGTGGGCTTTGAATCAGGCCCTGATCCATCAAAATACTTAAGCACATGATGAACCCTAAGAATGTCCCATTGAAGTCAATGAGACTACTTATGTGCTTAAAGTTAGGTTTGTGTTTAAATGCTCTGATGAATTGGGAAGTTTCCATGAAATCTTGTCCACAAGCAGGAGAAGTTTGGGGAGGCATGCGTATGGCTCCCCAACACCACTCATTGCCAAGATCCACAGGAAAGGGAGCCTCCAATCCTGTCGCGGGCCCACCTCTTTGCACCGCTGCTCTGGCCCCTTCTTCCTCTGAGAGGCTTGGAGCCTGAGTTAATGTTAGTTATCTGCTGCCTTGAGGGAGAATGGGGAAGCAAAACCTGTAGACAGAAGTTCTTTCTCCTCCTTTAGCCCTGCCCACCTCTCCAGCCCCACCTCCAAGCATAGCTTGATTGCAGTGGAGCTTTCTCAGGATCAGGGAGAAGAGGCAAGCAAGCCCCAGAGCTGCCACTCCCCTCTTTTCCACCCACGGTTCCAACTGGCTCCATAGGTTTAAGTCCCCTCTGCTCTGACATTGGTTATTTTATTTATTAATATTATCCAGAGTATATTCAGCTCTGATTCCTATCCTGTCAGACAAAATAGAGCAAGCTGTAGCACCAGGTGTGTGTGCTAGTGGACATTCAGAAATCCTGTTTGCAAGCTAAGCTGTGTAGAGCAGCTGAGGTTTTTGCAGGTTTTTTTCTGGCGCGAATTAGGAGACGCTTTCCTTTTTCACGTAAGAGCACTGCATTTTCTTCTTTCTTCAGCCTCATTGCCTCATGGCTCACTCTCCGTTCTTGAGCCTCAGGCTTCACTTTAAATCAAAATGGGAATGAATGTGAAGAGATAAGGGAGGCTTCATGACATTTGAAAAGATATCACTGGTGCATATGCAATTAGTTATCCATTGAACACAAGCTGGCAATAAGTTTCTACCTATTTATTGAGTCACAACTGACAGATCTGTTTTGACTTGCCATATTTTGTTTATGCTTAATATTTGCATTATTCTAGAGCAGGGGTGGGCAAACTTTTTGGCCACATCTAGGTGGGGAAATTGCGTGCAGGGCCATGAATGTAGGGCTGGGGCAGGTAGTTGGAGTGTGGGGTGTGGGAGGGAGTGTGGTGTGCAGGAAGGGGCTAAGGGGTTGGGGTTCAGGAGGGATGTGGGGTTGGCAGAGAGCTCAGGGCTGGGGGTTGAGGTGCAGGAAGGGTGCGGCTGGGGCTCAGGGCAGGGGGTTGGGGTGCAGAGTGCAGGAGGGGGCTAAGGGCAGGGAGTTGGGGTGCAGGAGGGGTTCGGGGTGCAGGCTCCAGCGCAGCGCCACTTACCTGGAGCGACTCCGGGGTGGCAGTGGTGCGCAGCAGGGCTAAGGTGAGCTCCCTGCTTGCCCTGGCCCTAAGCCACTCCCGGAAGCGGCCGGCACCACGTCCCTGAGGCCCCTGGAAGGGGGTGAGAGAGGGCTCCGTGCGCTGCCCTCGCCTACGGGTACCTTCCCTAAAGCTCCCATTGGCCACATTTCCCTGTTCCCAGCCAATGGGAGCTTCAGGGAGGATACCCACAGGCGAGGGCAGCGCGCGGAGTCCCCCCCCCACTCTCCCGGGGACGTGGTGCCGGCCGCTTCCGGGAGCGGCGCGGGGCCAGGGCAGGCAGGGAGCCCGCCTTAGCCCAGTGGCGCCATGGGGCTGGCAATCCCGCAGGCCGGATCCAAAGCCCACCCCTGGTCTAGAGGCATCCATTGAGATCAGAACCCTATTATACGAGGCACTCTCCAAACACCTAATGACAGTCTCTGCCAGGGAACTTGTGAGCTCTTCTAAATACACAGTAGGATGGGAAGGGAAACAGAAGCATAGAAGTGAAGTGGGTTACCCAGCATGCCGATGGCAGAACCGGGAACAGAACCCACGTGCCCTGGCTTCCAGTCCCCTAAATCATGCTGCCATGCTTGGATCTGGTGGTTAGAGGATGGAACTGAGAGTCAAGACTCTTGAGGCAATATTCTCCCACTGCTGGATGCAAATAAATTCTGTTGAAGTCAGAGGGAGATACTTGGATCTGATGAGGGTCGAATCCAACATATCTAGTTCCATGCCAATGTTTGTCCCATGTGGCCCCGATCTAGGTTTTTTGAATGTTACCACAATACAAGTAATAAAAAAATAACTTCCTTTACCTCTTGTGTGACTTTCCCAGCAGTGCTCCCACTTTGGCAAGCAGAAGTGTTGAGAAATGCGTGAGAGCATTAATTAACACAAGCCACCATTGTAACTGCTGCCCGTATTGGCAGTCTGAATAGAGGGGCCAAGGATAGACACTAAAGTTTTCTTTTCCCACCCCTAATGCTGGGCTCTCCATTTCAGGGGCGGGGCACATTGAAGGGCGTGGGGAAACTTGCTCTGCGCTTGCATGTGTTGTGCATCTTCTGTGGGCAAACAGGAGACTTCAGTTTGCAGTGTTGTCAATGTGGCATCTTTCACAGTTGTTCTTGTTTGTGTTTCTGTCCAATCAGAGTGGTATCTAGGTATCACCACAGTAGTTTGGTGTCAAGCACAGAAAAAACAAAGAGGAAAAAGGAAGAGAAATTAACAGAAAGTGGTGGGGCGAGAGAGATGCTTAAGGAAAGGACAGATAGCAGTAGAGGTCAAACTATATATATCTTTTAATTTATCCCATGTAAGTTTTCACATCAGAGATTATGAGGCCCACTAAATCTGCCTTTTGTTTGCCTATTTAATTATTGTTGACACTTTGGCCTGAGCCGTTAGCCAATATTTGGGGCCTTGCAGGATTGTTTCTGTTAGGATGAGGAATCAGTGAGGAGTCAGGTATCTTAGTGTTGTTTATATTTTATTTACAAAAATTCTACACAAATGCCTGTTTCCCTGAACTCAGTAGAAACAAATAGCAGCAGGCAGTTACCCTGCTCAGAGTTATCCTGCTCAGCTACCCCTCCAGCATGCTCTGTGCCCAAAGAAGCTCTGTCTTTGCTTCCTTTCAGGACCACCCTCACAATTCCTTCTACAGACTCTCTGCCTCCAATACACAGCGTGCAGCCCAGTCTCATAGCCCCAGCGTTTGCGACCAGAGAAACCCCTCAGTCCCACACAGCTTAGTTCTCACCCTAATGCTTTGGATGGTATCCTCCATTTTTTGGCTCTGATTCAGAAAAGCAAAGAGTACTCAAATACATGCTTGGCTTTGAGTATGTGATAAGTCCCATTGACATCAACGGTTAGCCAAATTCCTGAAGTTAAGGTTGTGCTTAAGTGTTTTCTAGAAATAAGGAACTATATATAGATAGCTAGTTTCAGGCACCCAGGTTTCAAAATATTGGTTTTTATTTTGATGTACAGCTTTTGGTGATATCTTTTTCATGGTTAGTTGATAATAGGTTTTCAGTAGAATCCTTTCTTGGTTTCATGGAATCATTAAGGAGAGCTATTCCCTTTAGAGAGTTCACCGTCGGCAGGCTAAAAGTTCCTACAAAGAGAACTGTAATTGTTGTTTTATTAGTACAGTCAAACTAATGCACTGTAATACCTAGATAAGTCTTATCATGGTTGAAAAAACATCGGGCTCTTCATGTGCTTTGACTCACCGTTCATTTTACATCAAATACATTATGCAAAAAGAAGAATAAAAATAGGCCATTGTTTAGTAAAGGCTTCCTGAAAATCAGATTGTTTAAAGAGAGACTTTTTCAAAAGACTAAGACCAAATTCCTCTTCCTTTGGAAAATGTGTGTTTCTAAATCTGAAAAGCCAAGTCCTCTGCAGAATCTGTGATGGCTGGTGCTGAACCATTTCTATCTTAGTGCATCTGTGATTTAATTGCACAGTATTTTTAAGTATCAAATAAAAGAGTGACACTTAACTTGGAGCAGTGAGTAAAGGGCAGTGCATAGCTGTGCCAGGGAGGCAGTATGACTCAGAGTGACAATCCTTTTCTGACAGATTACTTTCCCCTCTGAGCCAGCTGTGCTGGTCAGCATGTTATGAGAAGGTGAGGGGGGAGAATAGAGGCAAGGCTCTGCCCATGTCCTGCTCTGCTCAAGCCACTCCTGCCCATCTCTGTATGCAAGGGGAGTAGCAGCCCCTCAGAGCCTGCTCTGCTCTACTCTCCCCTCCACCATGATGCAGGGAGCAAAAATGCACGTGACTTGCCTATGTCAAGTCACAATCTTCCCTTATATGAAGAAGTTTTTGTATCCTGGAAAGGTGACCTTGTAGGAAGATTTTTGAATTTCAGTTTCTGTCATTAAATAATTACTGTCTGACTCCCCCGCCCCCATAATTTCCCACAACTGTTAAAATGTAAATAGATAAAAATAGAAAAAGTGCTTAAAATTAAACATTGATATCTGTCAAAATTGTAAAACAAAACATTGAATTCTCCCTTGCCTATGTATGGTTCTGTGGTGACTGATGCATAAGCACTTTTAATCCGATTTTGAATTATTTTATTTTTAAATACTCATACATCTTTGTTTTATGTTTCTTCCAGGCTGCAGACTTAATTATTAACCCAGCTACCACTTTCAAGGAAAAACCAGACCCCAGTGGTTTGGTGTTCGGAACTGTTTTCACAGACAACATGCTGACAGTCGAATGGTCTTTGACTTCAGGATGGGAGAAACCTTATATTAGGCCTCTTGAGAACCTTTCATTACATCCAGCCTCATCATCTCTCCACTATGCTGTGGAAGTGAGTACCAAATGGATTAGGAAATTACCTTTTCTTTACTAGCTTTTGAAAACATCATGTCGTAGTACGTTCTAAGTACCGTTACTGTCTTAGTTAGTTAGTACTGACCTAATGTGCTGAGTTAACACTGGTGTCACTCCAGAGTAACTCCATTGGCTTTGGTGGAGTTAGTTTTGATTTACATTTGATTAACAGAGAGCAAAATCTGGCTCAGGTTTTCCAGCTCACCCTGCTTCGTACTCTAGTGTGACACTGAAATGGTCTGTATGAGACTCTAGGAAAGTTGATGGTATTAATTTGGGGACTGGGCATGCATACTGAAAAACTGATAGAATGCAGTAAAGATCCATAGCTTGAATTGCAGGACACACTAGGCAGATTCTTGTTTTTAATTCCCACTTGTTGACTAGTTCTCAGGCAATCTTATAAGATTAAAAATAAATGTACTAGAGCAGAGACCAAATAGCAACAAGGAGTTGCCCATAAGGAAGTGAAATGTTAACAGCCGGAAGCCAGCGTGGTTAATAGTTTTCAAAAATGCTTAGCTGTCTAAAGCTGCCTTTTCTGTGTTATTGGAGCGGCTTGTGCTAAACTCTCGTCTGTGTCAGAGCATCAGTAGGGGCACATTGAGCTATCTAGGAAATACAGCGAAAACATTGGCCTGATTCTCCTTCCACTTCAGCATAAATCAGGAGTGACTCCAATGAATTCAGTGGAGTTACAATGGTGTAAAAGAAGAGAAATAGGCTCATGGCTTTTTCTTTTTTTGCCTGAGAGACTCCTCTGAGCCACAAGGCTCTGGCCTACCCCGTTTTTTCCATTCAGTCAACTAACCTTCAAGGATCTGTGTTATGATTACAGGTCCCTGTGGCTGAGGGCGGCTAAATACGGCTCTTGATCAGCCCAGGGAGCAAGAAACCACGCTGGAGTCCCAAATGTATGTTTCACTCATAGTAGCATATTGCTTTAATGCTAGGCCTCTGGCCCAGTCTGAAATCATTGCTAATATGAATATGCTCTTATTTTTTTCCATTTTTTATTCTTTTTACTTTTGTTGCATCACGTTTCCTCTAGCCAAGAGGAGAGACAGAGGAGAATCTGGTCCCAATGGTGTGGCTCAATGAATACACAGTGGGTATATTAAAAATGATGAATTTGGCATTTCCCCCTCCCTTCTCCTTGCCCTCCATGATACACTGTGATATCCTGGATCTGCTAGCCTCTGAATCCAGCTCTTGTGACTTACAGATGCCAGATGATATAGTGTGCACACATTTACAGCCCTGCAACGGTTTGCAGCAGCAAATTGTATAAAAACCAGCAAGCAATTACAGCCGTTGTTTTTATTAGAGCTGGGCATTCCCAGAACACACCGCAGGTACTCTCTCTTTACAAGTGAAAAGGTTTTCTGTGCTCTGAAAAATGACAAGCATCCATCCATGGAGAAAAAGATTTAAAGGCTTGAGCAATCTTTATGTTGCAATAATGATGTGATTCTTGCTTCTCTGAAACCATTGATCGTATCTTAGACTAACATTCCTTCCTCTTTCTCTCATAAAACATTCTGTAAATGTATATTGGGGAAAACAGCTGTTTTGTAATAACCACAATTGGCACAATAAGAAAATTATGGTATTAGCTGATTGCTAGTCCAGTACAAAATCCTATTAAAGTTCCTATATCATCACAATGCCGTGACTTATTAAAGGTGCATTTTGTTCTCTGGCTACAGTGTCAAATTTTGTTGTGGGATGGTTTCCTTTTAAATTTGTGCAAGAAGTTTTAATGAAGTGGAAGCTGGCATGGTCCACAGCACCGAGAAGCAAGAAGCCCTGAGTTCTAATCGTGGCTCTGCCACTTAATTGAAGTATGGCTGAGGGGAAAATCACTGAGGCTCTGTTTATACTACAGCTGGGTTGTCCTGTGACCCAGTTACGACACAATTAAAATTTGTGGTGTGGACAAGACCTCACTGTGTCCTGGAAGCTGCATTAAAGCCTTTGATAGTCCTCTACTGTACTAACCCTTATGGAAAAGTGCTGTAGAATGTAATAGTGATGAAACCATTTAGGTTCTATAGAAACTACTCTAAAAACAACTCCTAGAACTTAAAGAATTGAATTGTTTCGGTATGTTTTTAGAACTATTCGGTCACAGAGAACTAGTTTTCTATTACATTCTATAGGATGGGCCAAAAAACTATGAGCTAGATTTTCCAGTCTGCTCTCATGGTTCAAAGTAGCTGGATTCTGGCCATAAGAATTCTTGAATTCTTCTTCTGGCATAAAGCTGAGGGAGCTGACTTCTGTGCCACCTGTGTCCTCCACCCGTTTCACCCCATCTCCCCACATAGGGGTGTGTTGGGAGACAGATGGAGCAAGCCTCAGCTGCTCTAACTACTGCCAGGGCCAGTTGATACAGGATCAAGGGATTGTAACAGGCTTCCTTAGTTTTCCTTCAGCATAGGCACACATCAGGTGGAGCCCTAAAGAAAATTTATCATTCCTTATTAAATTCTATAGGACTTTTCCATAAGGGAAGATGCTATTTGGGATCAGTCGTAGGTATTAGTCAGAGTATGAGGGTATCATAAAGTCTCACCCATGCTACACATTTTAACAGTTGGAACCAACTCAGGATAATTACATTATCACCAAGTCCCCTGGGACAGATGTATTTGTACTGTAGACAACTACACTAACATGTAGTAACATGGGAGTAATAATACTTACCTACCTCACAGGGGTGCCGCAAAGATTAATTAGTTAGAATTCATGCAGTACTTTGAAAGATGTAAAGTGTTTATGAAAGTGCTAAGCTCTGTTACTTCCAAAGGGCATGTTTTATTTTTGTATTGGTGGTCATGGGATAACCCAGCACAATTTTCATTTGGCTCCTTTCTCCTTTTGGGTTGGTAGCTGTTTGAAGGAATGAAGGCTTATCGAGGAGTGGATGGTAAAATCCGCCTGTTCCGTCCAACGCTCAACATGGACAGGATGGTGCGGTCAGCGGCGCGAGCAACACTGCCAGTATGTAACTGAAACGTATCCTTTCCTTGGGTTAGGAAAGTATTTTTATTTTTAGGGTGTGAGGCTTTGAAGTGCGCAGGAGTTGTAAACCCTTGCTGACTACAAAGAAAATACAGTACTTCCATTTAAATCTTGTTAGGAGTCTTGTCATGGTAAAGGGGTCATTGTAGGGAGCTGGTGAAATGAACTCTTCTGCTAAATCAGTGTTTCTCAAACTGGGGGTCTCGACCCAATAGTGGGTCACAAGGCTATTGTAGAGGGGTTGCAGTATTGCCACCCTTACTTCTGCGCTGCCTTCGGAGCTGGGTGGCTGGCCAGCAGCAGCGGGCAAGGGGGGAGGGGGGAAGGGTCATCACAGCCTGAAATATTTTCAAAGGGGGGGGCCTGGCAAAAAAAAAGTTTTAGAACCTCTGTGCTAGATCATTGGCACTAAGATGGAGGTTAATTTTCTCCATCTCTCCTTGCTGCCCTTCCCAACTGATGGAAATTAAAGTTCGGGGGATTAATCAATCCTTTAGAAGCTGAACATCTTTCTAAACATTTATATACAGACAGTGGGCCAAATTGTACTCTCTCTTACAGTTATGGAAGTCCATGGGCTTGCACAAGTAGAATTTAATCCATTGTTTCCAGTGGCTAAGTCTTCAAGGTCAGAGTTTTATTTTCTGGCTCTGCTGCTGACTTGCTTTGTGACCTTAGTCAAGTCCTGTAGCCCCTTGGTACCCCAAGTTTATCACCATGCTGATGAGCTTTAGCAGGACAAGATATGTGCTCCTATTAGTTGCACCCTGGCCTCTGTGTTCCCTGCCATGCTTGTTACGGTGATATTGTATGTAGGAATTCTATAGTGAAATGTTCATCATTATCCACAATGCTCTGAAAATTCACAGGCCTTAAATTCCGGTCCAAGCTCTGGGAACAAACTGCTAGGATCATCCAGGTATATCTCACTTAATCAATACCCTACCATTGAGGGGCCTTGGGCATTGGTACACCTTGGTGCCTCCTTTTTTCTGCCTATGGCACACAATAGTATTGTCTCTTGAGGGCTGTAATATTTTAGTCTAATCCAGATTACTGGGCTCAATGCAGAGGGAACTGTGTGGGTTTAGTGGCCTGTGTTATACAGGAGGTCAGACTAGGTGATCTGGTTGTCCCATCTGGCTTTAAACTCTGTGTGACCCTGAAAAAGTTAAGGGATTGCCCATGCACACACTTGAGTTCTTTACAGTGTGCTTTGTACAACAGAATTGGAGGTGAGTAATCCCACTGGTTCTTTCTTTGTGTTTGTGAAATATATTTCACAATATCATTAAGGATCTTTAGACAGCTCATTTCTTGGCACTTAAAATCACATGGCCTTTTCCCTTGTATCTTATTACACACCAAGGGTGATGTTAGAATCGTGGACTTTTATAGCCTGCAAACATTTCTTCATAATGATTAAAAGTTCCTATTAGAACAGGGGCGGACAAACTTTTTGGCCTGAGGACCGCATCGGGTTTCGTAAATTGTATGGAGGGCCGGTTAGGGGAGGGGGTCGTGGCTCGGCCCCCACCTTCTATCTGCCGCTCCCCCGTCCCCAGGGACCCCTGCCCCATCCACACACCCCCACTCCTGTCCCCTGACTGCCCCCGGACTCCTGCCACCCCATCCAACCCCTCCTCTCATTCCTGATGGCCACCCCGGGACCCCTGCCCCATCCAACCACCCCTTCTCCCTGTCCCCTGACTGCCCCCGGAACTCCTGCCCCTGACTGCCCCCTGCCACCGCATCCAACCCCCCCTTCCTTCCTGACTTCCCCCCCGGGACCCCTGCCCCCATTCAACCCCGTTTCCCCCCCCCATCCACACCCTTGCCCCCTGACCACTACCTCGAACTCCCCTGCCCTCTATTCAACCCCCCCAGCTCTGTGCCCCCTTACCGCGCTGCCTGGAGCACTGGTGGCTGGTGGCGCTACAGCCGCGCCGCCCGGCTGAAGCCGGGCCATGCCACCACCGCCACCACACAGCTCAGAGCACCAGATCAGGCCCGGCTCTGCAGCTGCACTGCCCCAGGAGCTCACAGCCCCACCACCCAGAGCATTGCGCCGGCGGCGGAGCGAGTGAGCTGAGGCTGCAGGGGAGGGGAGACAGCAAGGGGGGGGGCCAGGGGCTAGCCTCCCGGGCCAGGAGCTCGGGGGCCAGGCAGGATGGTCCCGCGGGCCGAATGTGGCCTGCGGGCCATAGTTTGCCCACCTCTGCATTAGAATTTTCCATAACTCTTTCTTTCTTCCTTTCTTTCAGTGTTTTGACAAGGAGGAGCTATTAGAGTGCATCCGGAAGCTTGTGGAAGTGGAAAAAGAGTGGGTCCCGCGCTCTACATCTGCAAGCCTGTATATCCGCCCTACTTTAATTGGAACAGAGGTGTGGAAAAAACTTTTTTTCTTCTGAGTTTTATATACATTTTCATTTCTTTGTTCTTATCTTAACCTCTTGAAATCCATATTGTGTAATAGGCCATGGCAAGGAGACTAAAGCATTTAATTCTCTTTCTACAGCTGGAGTGGCAACCATATTTCGGCACTTAGGCTAGAGCAGTGATTGTAAGCTCTTCAGGGCAGAGACTGTCCCTTATGTTTGTACAGAGCCCTTCACAATGGGGCCCTGATCTTGACTGAGGTCTGTAGACCCTGCTGTAATACAACTCATAATAAACATTCTATACAGATCTTTTTATTTTGAGGCATTGGGACATATTCACCAGTATTCTGTGGCTGATTTGTGTCTCTCTGGCCATGTACAGTTTCTATACATTTGGTTTAACAGGCCAATCAAAGTTGGTTTATGGCATCTTTGCATTGCCAGAAGAGTGCACAGTACCCATAATACACTAGTGAATGTAGTGCCACGAGTTTTATGAATGGCAGGCCTTGCTTGGTTAACTATATTTTACTTTTTTTCCCCGTCTCTGGTATGTAAATGATTGCTTTCAAAAGTAGCATGTTAGAAAATAGATTAACCACATTTGGCTTCAGTGGAATCTTATTGCTTAACTCCCCCACAATACAAATCAAATGGCATCTATTCTTTTTTCTTCCTAAATTCATTTAAAGTGAATTTAGTGGTCATGAAAGGTACTGGCCTGGCCTGGACAGAAGTCCTTTATTTATACATAGAACAGTGGTTCTCAACTTTTGTACTGGTGACCCCCTTCACATAGCAAGCCTCTGAGCGCGACCCCCTTATAAATTAAAAACACTTTAAAATATATTTAACACCATTATAAATGTTGGAGGCAAAGTGGGGTTTGGGGTGGAGGCTGACAGCTCGCGACCCCACCCATGTAATAACCTCGCGACCCCCTGAGGGGTCCTGACCCCCAGTTTGAGAACCCCTGACATAGAACATATGTAATATGGACAGCATCAGAACAAGCTTGTACGCCTCACCCACATCCTGGAGTGAAGATCTCTCAGGGTAATGAGACAGTTCAGTCTTCAACACCCATTCAGTCATCAGCCTCTTTTTCTTAGTCTGCCAACAGAAGAACTAATGTAACTTGACTATCTGGATAATCAAGAAAAACCTACCCTCTTTTGCTTTTTTAAGAATGATTTGAGAAGTTGCTATCCCATTGGCAATATCTGTACTATAGTCTCATACGCGTGTTGTATGTTTGTATTTTGTATTTATATATTAAACCAAAGACCTTTTGGCCACCAATTTGGAAGCACTGGTGTGGTTGGATTTTTTTGTTCATTCAATGTGGGACCCTATGGCAGCTTTGAGTCTGGCACATTTAAAGCGATGCCACAGTATAATCTCTCTCACGTAATTGCATGTACATTTTTTGTGTTTGTATACATACTCATCATTCCAAGAATTCCATCCATACATGCCTCTGAATACTCACTAATCACAGTATTCCTTCCCTGTCCTGCTTTTCTACTACAGATTGGCTGGTAGGTTTGTGCTCACTCCTGCTGCTGGAACATAAATGCATCCAGGTTTCACCAATTCAAAGAGGAATCAGAAGTTTGCTAACAAATTGTGGTCTCTTTTGTGGATTCCCCATATGTTGCTGCTAAGTGGTAGGCTGGTCAAAGTGTGATAAACTATAGAGCTATAACTGTAGAAGAAACAGTAAATCAGACTGTCTGTTTGGCTGCCAGTAAAAATAGTGTTATCTTTATTACTTCAAGTGAGAATTATACAGCTAGCAGAACATATAAGCCAATTTCAGTGATGGGAAAAATCTTTAACAGTGTTTAGTCCAAACCATTTTTTCCAATGATTGCCTACCTGCGACTGTTAAATTCTCTTTGCCATTAGCACATTGATTTACCTAGGAAATGCTCCACTCTGTAGAGCTTCATTTTACAACAGCTCATTTACATTGAGCACAGCACCATCTAGTGGACATACTTGTTCAGATCATTAGATTTAAGATAATTTTTCACATAGTCTGTGTGAATGATTTTAACTTTTTTTCTATGTAGTATATTTCAATTGAGGTTTTGTAGGAAAAGGAGACTAGCTAGTTACACAGCAATGTGTGCATTGAAAATTTGAAAAGTAATTGAGAGAAAAGGCTGTGGGAGATATACATGCTAATTCAGTGACTGAATTTCATGGTCTCCCACTGGCACGGTAATTAAAGACCAAAAGATAATTTAAAGTTGTTCCCCTCTGGAGGAGTCCCAAGTGCTACTCTCTCATGGGTGAATTTTTCCTCATTCATGGATGAACTTCACCTCCGTTGCAGCTCCCCTGTAGGACTATGTGTGTGCATATACACAAATTGCTTGCGGATGTGATTGAAGCAAGTCTACAATGTCAGTAAAACAATTTGGATAAGAAACACTTTAGTTTCTCATAAGCTCTCATAAGAGGGTGTGATTCCTGTTCCCAACTCTGCCACTGATTTCCTGTCTGCCCTTGGGCAAGTCATTTCATTTCAATTCCCCATCTGTAAATAATCTTTGTAAGACTTAGTTGCCTCACAAAGGTGTTGGGGCTTTGTTAACTTAATGTTTGTAAAGCACTTGCCGACCCTCAATGAAATGATCTCCCTGCAGTAACTGCAAAGTATTAATATGAAGTGGGATTTGCTATAGTGATTTTCAGAGGTTCTTCAATGTGGGGCTTCATTAGGCAAGTAAAGTGCTCTCATTGTTTCAGGTTAGTCCACACTGTTTGGGCCTTTACCCATATCAAGCAGAAAAATTGCTCTGACTTGCAAAAGATAAACAACAGGACTCCTTGTTTTCTAGCACTATCCTCTTAGGGTCTACACCTGCTGCCACTTAGCAGCATCAGGGCCTCAGTTAACTATCTTTTTTCTTTGGCTAAGGTCTAGTGAGAAATCAAAAAAGACCTCAAGGGACCTGAAGGATATATATCTGAATGTGCCAATGGTTCCAGGGCCTCAGCAGGACCCCAAGATTTAGTTTAGTGGTTCTCACATACAGTATTGTGCCCTGATCCTGGGCCTCTCATGTTTTTACAACATTAATTTGTGTCGTGGACACCCATCTTAAAAATCAGGAAGTAGCTGTCACTCCTGATTTGGGTGACTGATTAGTCTTTGGGGAAAGAAGATAGAAATTCAGTTAGTTGTAGCTAAAACCCTGGACTGGTTTCAGAAACTGTAACTTCTTATGAATCAAGACAAGCGTCTTCTGACAACAATCAGGGTCTTGTCTAGGGTTGCATTTGCAGACAAGTCTTCCTCTCATTCCTGAGGACCATGAAAGCTTTGGTCTGGGACTTCAGGGTGCTGGATGTCGCAGTTTCTGCCTCTTGCAATCCTGCAGCGCTCTCCTGGGATCACCTGCAGTTTTGAATGGTTCAGATGCTACTGATAAATGCTGCTCATGATAGTACCAATCTGGTTAAAACTGTTCTAGTTCCTCCTCATATCAATGTACTGCTCACCTGGGAGGCTGCAGGAAGTTCATTCATCCAATGAGACTTGTTGAATTGACCTGTTCTGTAGTGTGGTAATGACAAATGCCAGTCTCTTTGGGTGGGGAGCTCATGCAGGGCCCCAGATGGCACTGTGAAAGCAATCTCCTCTAAAACCAAAGAGAAATCTCAAGATGGGCAGTTTCAGGGGGATTCTAGTGGGGAAAAAGACAGCAATGACCCAGTCAAACGATTCTGCTGTGGTAAGTATATACCTGGACCAGAAAACCCAGGATAAGAAGACTGTAAATCACTTAGCTGGCTAATCTGAATACAGTGTTCAATGAGGATCTCCATCCCTCCCCTCATTGTTTAGATCCTTAAGCAATGAGTTGGTCTCAACAGACCTATTTACTCGGAAGCAGCAAACACGTGGCTCCTGACATACTGCATGGGGTACCTGTTCTCAGCCAGGCTGCTGCACACACTAGATTCTGTGGTCAGGGTTCCATTGTGCATAGAATCCAGCCCCAGAGATCCTCTTGATCCCATATTCCAGTCTGTTAGGCAAGTTTCTATCTGTCTTCCTGTTACATACAGAGGTCCAAAAAAACGGGAATAATGTCATAATGACTGCTTCCACGCAGCAGTTCACCACTCTTCCCTTCGGCCTATCGGTGGCCCCCTGGGGGTTTTCGCGAAGTGTCTGGCGGTAGTATCTCGACAACTGCTGATCAAAAGTCAGTCACAGGCTCGAGTTCAGAACAACATCAGCATGGTCCAAGCCACCTTCTGAGCACTGGGCTTGCTAATAAACAAACAGAAGTCAACTCTTGTCCCAGCTCAGAGAATAGAATTTATTGGGTCGGTGCTCGACTCAGCTCAAGCCAGTGCCTTCCTGCTGGAGGCCTGATTCTAGACTATGTCAGACCTGATATCCAGTGCCATGGTCCACCCAATTACAACAGCTCGGGTTTGCCTGAAGCTACAGGGGCAAATGGCGACATGTACTTACGTGGTTCAACATGCAAGACTGCACCTCAGAGACCTTCTGATGTGGCTAGTGTCAGTATATTCCCCAAGCAGACACCTCTTGGACTCCGTGCCAACAGTTCCTCCCCTATTCCTTCACCTCCCTGAAATGGTGGAAAGACCCAAGATCAGTAATGATGGGGATGCCCTTTGTTATCCCTCAACCATTGGTAGCTTTAATCTCAGACACATCAGACCTAGGGCAAGGAGGCCTCCTCACCAACCTCAGGACTCAGGTCTCTGGTCCCAAGAAGAACTCTCCCTGCATATAAACGTCAGGGAGCAAAGAGCGGTATGCATAGCTTGTCAAGTGTTCCTTCACCAGATCTCAGGCCAGGTGGTGCAAGTCCTGACAGACAATAGTGCGGCCATACCTGCTATCTCAACAAGCAGGGAGGGGCCTGATCTTTGGCCCTGTGTCAGAAAGTCATCCGTCTATGGGACTTCTGCACGAAACACTCCATCCATCATGTCACATCTCCCAGGAGTCCGGAAAGTACCGGTGGATCACCTCAGCAGATCCTTTTCCTCTCACCATGAGTCCCTTCACCCGGGGGTCACCAGGTTCATCTTCCAAATGTGGGGGCCTCCCCAGGTGGACCTGTTCGCTACCAGACAAAACAGGAAATGCCATCAGTTTTGCTCACTGCATGGTCACAGCCTGGGCTCCCTCTCCGATGCTTTCCTGCTCCCATGGCAAGACCCTTACATCAGAACCGCCTTACACTGTGTTCTTTAAGGACAAGGTCCAGCTGCGCCCTCCACCCTGCCTAAGGTGGTGTCACAATTCCATAACGGCCAGGCCATTTTCCTGTCCGTTTTCTTCCCCAAGTCTCACAAGACCTCTGAGGAAAACAGCAGCTTCACTCATTGGATATTATGTGGGACCTCGCCTCTTATATTGAGAGGACTAAAGTCTTCCGCAAATCCACACAACTCTTTATAGCAATAGTGGAAAGGGTGAGAGGATGACCTACCTGTGTCAGCCCAGAGGATCTCATCCTGGATAGCTGCCTGTATTCGGGCTCGCTATGAGCCATCTTAACTGTTCACTCCACAATAGCCCAAGCTTCGTCAGCAGCATCCCTCTCATAGGTCCCAATCCAGGACATCTGCAGGGCTGCAACCTGGTCATCAGTACATACCTTCGCATATCACTACGCCATCACCCAACAGGTCTGGGATGATGCCACTTTCAGGAGAGCAGTGTTGCTGTCAGCATATGCGTGAACTCCAAGCCCATCTCCAGTGATACTGCTTGTGAGTCACCTAACATGGAATGGACATGAGCAAGCACTCGAAGAAGAAAAATGGTTACTACCTTTTGTAACTGTTGTTCTTTGAGATGTGTTGCTCATGTCCATTCCACAACCCACCCTCCTACCCCTCTGTCAGCGTTAACAGTAAGAAGGAACTGAGAAGGTGCATGGCTGGCGGTGCCCCTTATACTGGCAGATGAGCGTGTGGCTCCGGAGGGCACTAGAGCCAGCCCAACGGATACCACTGAGGGGAAAATCTCTGGCAACAGTGCACTTGGTGCACACACACCTAAAGTGGAATGAACATGAGCAACACATCTTGAAGAACAACAGTTACGGAAAGGTTAGTAACCATTTTTTATGATGTCAAACGAAAGCCATGTGTAAAATAAGAGTTGCTTAGGCCAGGGATTCTCAGCCTTTTTCTTTCTGAGTCTTCCTCCCCTCCCCACTCCCCACCCCATGCTATAAAAACTCCATGGCCCAACTGTGCCACAACGGTTTTTCTGCATATAAAAGCCAGGGCCGGCATTAGAGGGTAGCAAGTGGAGGAATTGCCCAGAGACCACACGATGGGACACCGTGAAGCTAAGTTGCTCAGGCTTTGGCTTCAGCCCGGGTGGTGGGGCTTGGTGCCCCGGGCTGCAGTCCTATGTAGTGGGACTTCGGCTTTCTGCCCTGGGCCCTAGCGAATCTAACACTGGCCATGCTTGGTGGACCTGCTGAAACCTGCTCACGACCCCTCAAGGGGTCCCGGACCCCTGGTTGAGAACCACTGGCTTAGGCTGGTTTCTGAAGTGGCATCTTTGGAGATGCATTGTGCCCTTTGACCAATGATGGAGCACCCTCCTGCGGAAGGTGCTTTGAAAGTGGTAACTCAGAAAATCTAAACTCTGACGTGAAGAAGAAAACAAAGCAAAAATGATGTGTGTTTCTTTTACTGTGCAGCCTTCTCTTGGAGTCAAGAAGCCAACTAAAGCCCTGCTGTATGTTATACTGAGTCCTGTGGGCCCATACTTTGCAAGCGGAAGCTTTAATCCAATATCCTTATGGGCAGATCCCAAATATGTAAGAGCCTGGAAAGGAGGAACGGGGGACTGCAAATTGGGAGGGTAAGAGAGCCTGATTATGCATTAATTACATAGCTCAACTGTTGGATTATTTTTTCCTTTCAGTAAAATCTTGGCTATGATGCTGTATTATTAAATGTTGCAAATCAAAAATTGTAACACAGGCATTTCCAGAAAAGAGGTATCTCACCTCCAGTCAAAATGGGCTACAAAATAGCAGACTGCCGATCTGTTCACCTTGCATAGATAGACTAAGGCCAAGGTTGTTAAACTGTAGTTTGTGGACCACTGGTAGTCAGTCCATAATGAGCTGCATGGGACTGTGGAACTGTCTCTTCATGATTCCAGCTGCTAAAATAAAGATAAGTCAAATGCTTTTCTAATGTTGTTTCTCCATGTGAGCAGTTGCTGCTGTTCTGTCAGAAAATGGAGCAGAAGGTGTACACGAGACAATTTCTGTGTTAAGTTGTCACACTGTGAAAAGTTTTGAGAATGAGGGCAAAAGTTTGGAATAAGGGCAATTGCAAAGAGGCAGGGACTCGGAGAAACTTCTGTCCTGTCTTATTTTTTGGGGAAAAATGTATATGGAAGTTTGATCTACCTTAGTCACTGTTGAAAGTCAACAGTGTTTGACTAGAGTTACCAGATAGTTTCCCAAGTGTGGTAATTGTCTGTAAATGTTGACGTTAAAATTAATCCCAGTTTAAAGTGTTCATGCAGTGCCTCGTGATTTTCTGCCTCCTTTTATCAAAATATGCAACTTGTTTTTCCTAAAATCTTGCAAATTTGTGTGTGTACGTGTCTGAAATATGCGGTTATAAAGAAAACCAAAGTTAAAAATCAAAAAGTTTAAATCTCTTCTGACTGGATTTCTGTCAGCAAATCCACTGGGTAAAGAGTTAAACATCAGACAACAGCAACAGCCAGTGAGAGCTCAGGGGAGGGAGGGAGCCTGTACGGCTAGGGGAATCCCCTGTCTCCTATTGAACTGCTTCAAGTTTTCTGCTTCTACACCTAGACTAGCTTTAAGCCATAAACTTGAAGTGCTGTGGCCTTCACTGCATAATCTGTTAGCCGCTTTGCTTGTACAAACGTAACACTTTCATGAGTCAGTTGGGTCAGGGGTTACCTTTACATCCCAGGATCCAGTGGAGCTGCCTGGTAGTCCACAGACCCTGTGGAGCAGTATGGTCCTGGTAGGTAGGGGGAACCCTTGACTGTGGCTGAGCCCTTCAGAGTTTTATTTTGCAGAAGCAAAGTGACTTGTAGTTCATTCATTTAAGTGCTGCCAATGGAATCGTGTCAGGGGCAGGAAATGACTTTGCAGAGCATTAATCATGAGGCAGATTTTGCAATCTGGGCACTGAAAGTAATGTAAGCTGTTTTTAGAAATGGGAGAATTAGGAAGTTTTATGGCAGGAAAATACCCAGCTAGCTAGTGATAGCTGTTCCTTTTTCTTTTGTTCCTGAAAGGAATTATGGTTCTTCCATCTATGCCCAGCGTGAAGCTATGGAATTAGGGTGTCAGCAGGTTCTGTGGCTGTATGGAGAGGATCATCAAATCACTGAAGTCGGAACAATGAATCTTTTCCTGTACTGGGAAAATGAAGATGGAGGTATAGTAGTATGTGGCACTAAACCTCTGCTCGTTGCAGTCCTCAGGCCTGGGAGCCAGTTGTAACCTCAGGACTGGTGTCAGTGTTGTATGGATGATGCTTCTTGGGGTTTGTAGTTCTGGCCCAAAGAATGGTGGTCTGCATTGCCTTCTTTTTCTGTTTTAGTGGGAGGAGGGAAGTCACCCCTTAGTCAATCCCCACTAGCCCACACAACTTCTTCAGAATTCCTTCCAGCAAGTCCCTTCCAAAGAAATGGGGTTTGGGACCTTCCCTCTGTGGAGAAGGCAGGTGATCAGAGACTCTGACCTTGCAGTTCTGCGATAGGCTGCGATTGCCTTCTTTATCTCTTCTGCTTCTGTCATGGCCTCGAGCAGGGGCATCCCATCCATTCCTGAACCATGACCTGTGTCCACAAAGCAATCAGACCTTCCTTTTGAATCATGATTTTCCCGCTAAGCAAGACAGGAGAAGCTGCTACATCTTTTAAACTTCTACATCTTTAATCCTGGTAAATTGCTTTGAAGATGTAGGACCAGATTTTTAAAGCTATACTAAATTTTTATTTATTTATTTATTTATTTTTGCATCTGCAATCATTTGTGGTTGGAAATTATGCCACTTAGACAACTGATTGTCTAATTACTGCATGCAACCAGATATTTAGACACTTGCGTACCTTCATTTGTATGCAATTATTTATGTCTACAAAATTGTGCCTGCAGTTGGTTGTTAGTACAGAAGGGTAACCTAGTTTGAAGGACTATGGGCCTGATCCAAAGCCCATACAAGTCAATAGAAAGACTCCCATTAACTTCCCAGGACTTTGGCTCAGGTCCTAAATAAAGGCAAAGTGTTGTTCCACCATCTGCCAGTCTCAGAAACAAAAGAACAAGAAATCGGGATTCAAGCTCTGATCCTTTTCATGACAATGCAATGCACACTCTTGTAAAATGCCATTTCATTGCCATTTTTCTGCCAGTGCTATAGTGGTGGTTAGTAGTGGCTCACAATGGAAACAGCATTGTGTTTTATTTAGCATAAGAGTCTGTGAGTCAAGATACCTGGGTTCTATTTCCAATTTGACTGCTGATTCTTGGGCAAATCCCTTAAATTTCTCTGTGTCTCAGTTTATACAGCTGTAAAATAGGGATAATATTTACCTAGCTCTAAAAAACTTACTGAGATCAAGTGAATGATGCTATATATGTGAATGTTGTTATTTAATATTTCATCAGAATGGATTAGACATTGTAGCTATTGGGCCAAATTCACCCCTCATGTGCACCTTCACTGGCGTTACACCAGCAAGGAATTTGGCCCATTTGGACAGAGCGAACAAGAAGTTGGTTAGCATTCAGTGTTCTGCTTTGTTTTTCAACCAGGAATAAGCAGGAATTATCCAGCTGCAATACCATACTGTTCCAAAGATCTGCTAACCAATGTGTTACCAGTGCACTACTGAATAGTATCATTCTGACATGGGTGGAACAAACAATCTGTAATTCATGCCATCCAGCCTACTATATGCCAGTCCTATTCCAAAACAGACCGGCCATTACACATGCTATGATCACTTGCACTGCAGGGGCAATTAGCTATTTAGCAATGTATTACTAAGAAGCCTGGGTAAGACCTAAAACACCTACAACTGTTGGTTGCCATCAAGAAAATGCGCACCAGTGTATAACTGCCTACCCCCTTGCACCGTGGCCAAAAGTGACTGCTATTGTGCTCTTTCTCTTCATAAGGAATGCTACTAGGACTAGGGTGACCAGATAGCAAGGGTGAAAAATCGGAACAGGGGGTGGGAGTTAATTGGCACCTATATAAGACTAAGCCCCCAAATATGGGGTCTGTCCCTATAAAATCGGGACATCTGGTCACCCTAAATGCTACTTAGGTGGTCCTTGTTTTGTTTGCTTCATTGTGCATATATTGCAGTAGTAGTGGTGGTGATGGGGGGGCGTGGAGGGAGAGGGAGATTAAGCATAGAAATACAGTAGATTTGGAACTAGAAATCATGGGTACAGTTTAAGCATCAGGACCATACAGCTCATTGTGTGTTCAGGGAGTAATGTAAACTCTGTGTGTATGTGCTATGTTTTTTGTGTACCTTCATGAATGCACTGGATGGGGACTGATTTCAACAGTGCTTCAAGGGAGGGTCCATTTTTACTGCAAGCCGTTTCTAGATCATTTTAGCCCTGGTATTGGACAAAAGAGGTGTCTAACATTCCAGTCTTGGGTGAACCCTAGAAAATGTCTCATTCACAATGGTGGTAGGGGGAGGGGGAAATTACCCAATAACCTCTGGTAAATTTGCATGACACACATTATGCTGATTCTGTACATTTAGCATTGCTCTGGCTGAGTTTATAAGGTAGCTAAATCTGGATCACTATTGTTACAGGAATAACTGAGCGCAGTAGTTTCTGTTCATGAAATACTGCTTTCACCAGTGGCATATTTGGAGAGTGACATATACCCAGGAAGGTTTCCATGTTACAAAATGTAAAGCTTGATCACTATGTGATCCTCCAGGCCTACCTTTTCACGGCACATAACGTTGTTGAGAGACAAAGGGTGGCAGGAGTGGAAAGCATGTTAATGGAATGTCTGTTTCTTCTATCAAGGGGCTTAGCTTGGCAGAGATGAAGACCTTTAAAATCAAAACAAATGTACAGTCTAGAGAATATATCAAATGGGGGCTGTACACTATGGAATCTGTTTCTATTTTCCAGTATACAGAGGCAGTGTTGAGAATGGTTAGCTGCAAAGAGTCAGGACACCTGGGTTCTATTTCTGGCTGAACCATTAAGCCACTGTGTGACCTTGGGCAAATTATTTATCTCTGTGCCTCAGTTATCCCATCAATAAAATGGGAATAATAATACCTACTTCACAGGAGTGATGGGATGCTTAATTCCTTAAAAGCTCTTTGGAATCCTCAGATGAGGGCCAGCCCTATACCACATGGTGCCCGAGGTGAGGAGCGTCTTCAGCGCCCCACTCCATTAGTTAAACTTTTGAATATCTTATTTTTATTGTATTTATAGCCCATTTCACAACTTTGATGCACGATTTATCCCTGTTATATAAGATATAAATATGCACACCAGGATCTGTAAATCTGTATTTATTCATGCCATATATAAGCAAAGTACACTTTCGCATTTACATAATAAAACAAAGTTCACAATATCGCAGCTGGGCTCTCACTTCACTTCGTTCTTATATCTCATTGACTGACTGGCAATGCCCTGCCCCTTATATACAACATTCTAGGAGGTTTTGAGGAAAATGTACCTCTCAGAAAGTCTGGAAGTTTCCATGAGATTCTACGAAGGTCCAGAACATTGTAGGTGGTTAGTGAAAAATGAATCCACATACAGAATACCTGAAACATTTTACTTCAAACATTCTATTTTCCCTTTTGTCGCTAACAACAAAAATAGCACCCCAAGCCTGGTTTCCCCCAAGCCGGCATCCCAGGTGGTTGCTAGGGTCGCCTGCCCCTTCAATCCAGCCCTACCTCAGATGAAAAGACTCACAGAAGTTCAAAATAATGCTATTATATGTGTGAAAAATAGAGCTCGATGATTGTTAAAATGGTCATTATGCTGCAGAAAGTGCCATGTGGTGGTGGAGCATGAAGTTTGCTGGTGACACTGTGTGGGCTGTTAGATGCAGAATGATCCTATAAGGATGGATTCTTTTTGTAGAGAGTGACAGAGAGATTGACAAATGTATGGGATGACAGCCAGAGAAAGGAAAAAAAGAGAGAGGGATAGAGGGCCTGGGAGCAAGTAGCAATTGGAACAAGAAGGGAGGGGAAAATGGAATGGAGAACTGGGGTGAAAGGAAAGTGTGAGGAAAAGAGAAAAAATGAAGGAGAGAGCAACACAGAGGGACGGGGAGATTGGGTTTATGATAGGGTATGGACCCCAGAGCTTCCTGAGGCCTATGTGATCCAGAAGTTCTCTTGGTGGCCCCACCCATGCAAACATTTTGGTGTTTTTCTCCATTTTGTAATAATCTGCCTAGCCCTAAACTCATCTCATATGCATCAATCAGTGCATGTTCAAAAATAGTTGTGGGATAAATGAAGGGGGTGTAGACACCCAGCCAGCCAGTTAGCTGTAAAATCCCTCTTGGTGTCTGTTCTCTGCTTGCTTTACCTGTAAAGAGTTAACAAGCCCACAGGTAAAAGTAAAGGAGTGGGCACCTGACCAAAAGAGCCAATGGAAAGGCTAGAACATTTTAAAATTGGGAAAGAAGCTTTCCCTTTGCATCTGTTGTGTTTCTCCGGGAAAGAGGGGAACAGAGGGCAGCAGGAATGCTGTGTAAATCTTTAAGGCAGGTATGAGAAATCATCAGATCATACCTAGAATTACTTATTTGAAACCCCCCAAATATGTAAGTAAATTAGGAATGTTTAAATAGAGGCGATCAGGTTTATTTCTTTATTTTGGCTTGTGGATCTCCTCTGTGCTAACCCCAGATGCTTTTGTTTGCTTGTAACCTTTAAGCTGAATCCCCACGAAAGCTATTTTGGGTGCTTAATTTTTGGAATTGCTCTTTTAAAATCTAGCAAAAGCCTAAGTTCCAGATGTATTTTCTTCCTTTTTGTTTTTAATAACATTTACCTTTTTTTAAAACAAGATTGGATTTTTGGTACCCTAAGAGGTTTGTGCATGTTGTTTGATTAGCTGGTAGCAACAGCTAATTTCCTTTGTTTTCTTTCTCAGCTCTTCCTCCGAGGGCGGGTGAAAGGGCTTGAGGGTACCCCACAGGAAGGAATTCCCAAGTGCTCCTTTCTGGGTCCAAGGGGTTTTTTTGCATTAGGGTGGCGGCTGCGTTTACCAAGCCAAGGTCAGAAAAAAGCTGTAACCTTGGGAGTTTAATACAAGCCTGGAGTGGCCAGTATTAATTTTTAGAATCCTTGCAGACCCCCACCTTCTGCACTCGAAGTGCCAAAGTGGGGATTCAGCCTTGACAAC